CCCGCAAGGGCAAGCTGGCTCCAGGGTCGACCATGGCCCTTCAGGCGCTCGAAGAGGCGGTCTCCTCGCGGGTCGCCCTTGCGAGCGCCGAGCTGGCCCCTCGGGCTGCCCTCCCCGCCTCGGGCGCGCCTCTCCCGAGGGGCGGGGTTTCGTCTGCCCTCGCGACGCGGGCGGCTGAGTCGGATGCCACCCTCGTCTCCGCCGTGTCGCGCGGCCGCGTGGAGCTCGACGCACTCCGCACCGCGCGTGCCGACGCCACCAGGCGCACGGTGCAGGCTCCTGCACGCGGCGAAGGAGAGCGTGCCGTCGCTCGTGCCGAGCTCGCGGAAGGGATGGCCGATCGCGCCTACTTCCGACGCGTGCGCGAGGCCGCCAGTCGAGAGGCCGCGGGCTTGCCGCGCACTGCTCCCGTCCAGCTGGGTCGGGATTGGCGCAAAACCTTGCGCGCCGTCCTGCACAACGCTGAGGTCTCGACGGGCCTCGCCATCGCAGAACGTGCCGCTCGTGCTGGGGACGCACCCGCGTCGTCCACTGGCCGCTCCTTGGCCGAGGTGGAGGCTGAGGACCCGCGCGCCTTGGCAAGGCCCGCCGACGACCCTGCGTCCAGCTTCAGCCGTCGTGAGCGGCGCGCGGTCCGCGCCCGCCTGGGCCCGCGGGATGAAGCGGTCGAGGACCAGCCCAACCGCGGTGGTCACGCGCCGCGCTCCGCCTCGCGCACGGGCACCGCGCGCACCAGGCGCGCCGCCAGGCAGCGGCGGGCTTCGATGGCGGCGCTCCCCGCCCCTGAGGGGGGGGCCGCCACGGCGCCTGGCCGCAGGGCGCGTCGCACTGCCAATGCGCGCCGCTGGGCAGGCGCGGCGCGCCCCAGCTCCGCCGCGGGGGTGGGCTCCCCACCGCGGAGCCGCAGCCCTGCCCGCAGCCGTACGCGGTCTCCAAACCCGTACGGGACCGACCGCACCTCTCCCTCGGGGGGCTGCTCGTCGCCCCCCGTCAACGGCCCGATCTCGCCCGAGGAGCCGTCGGAGCCGCCTGCGGGGGAGGCATCGGAGGGCCCGCACACTCCTGACGGGTCCCCGCCCGCGAGCGTTCGCAGCCGCTCGAGAGCGGAGCCCGCGTGCGACGAGGACTCTCCGACGGAGCTCGAGGACGTCGTGCTGAGTGCCCTCGCAGACTCCTCGATGGACCTCGAGCGCGTCGTGGCGGGCCTGAACCCCGAGGTCCTCCGCCGCCTGCAGGCGGCCTTCCCTCGCCGCTCGGGGGCCTCTCCGCCCGCCGCTCGCGCCTCGGTTCGCAGTCGCTCTCGGGGCCGCGGCACGCGTGTAGGCTCCGAGACTCCGCGGCCCGTGCCCCCGCCGCCGCCGCCGCCCCCTCACCACTCTGGTGGGCGTGCGGCGTCGCGATCCCGCGCGTCGACCGCAGGCCAGGGGCTTAGTCGGGCCGTCGCGCGCGGCTCCTCTCGCGCGCCTTCGCGTCAGGCGACGTCGCCTCGGCGTCGCGAGGTGCGCTCCCCTCGAGTCGCTCCGAAGCGGCGCCCGAGCCCCGCTACTGCGCAGCGGCCAGCCACGTCCCGCCATGGTGCGAGCTCGGGCGACGCCCACGCAGGCAGCTCCCGCGCGGACTCCGCTGCTCAGGCCCCTCAGTCTTCGGTAGGCACGCGCTCCTCCAGCGATGCTGTTGCGGCCCCGCAGGGCGGAGGGCGTGCCGCCGAGGAAAGGGGGTCTTCGAGCGGCCCCGCGCCTGGCCGAGATTCAGGGCACGAGCTGCATCCCAGCGGCTCCCACAGCGGCGACGCTGGGAGCGCCGCGGCTGCAGCCTTCGCAGCGCGGCGCACGGCCTCCGCGGCCGTTGAGCAGCCCTTGCCTCCAGGGGCCGCCACCGCCCTAGCGTGGCGTCTCAACCTCGGCGGTGAGAAGGTCACAGTGGTGAGGTGGGGACCCGCCTGGCAAGCTGCCTTCCAGAGCGCGGCGTCGTGGCTGAGGTCTTTCGCACCCGCAGGGGCCGCCGAGCCCGAGGGCAGAGATGACCTGCACTGCCTCCTGCAGGCCTTGCACGCCTATAAGCGCCTGTTTCAGACAGGCGGCGCCGAGCCGATCGACGAAGCCTCGTGGTTGCATCCTTACGTGGCCGCCGTCGAGCCCGAGGCTATCCCCGCGGGCGCTGACCTCCAAGCCATGGGGGCGGGCGCCATCCGTGGCATCGGGCTCGGCTCAAAGATCGAGCACAGGAGGCGCGCGGGCAAGTTGGCCTGCCTTTTCGACCTTCTGTACCACGTGCAGGACGGTCACGGCGCCATCCCAGCAGCGCTGTGGGGATCTCATTCCCCTCCGTCCGAGATCCTCGACGCGTTCGCGGAGGTGGTGCCCGTTCCACATCATTCGGGCCTCACGTCCTCGGCAGCTCGTTCCGAGCTCGCCGAATCGGCCGCAGCTGCGCGCGCCGAGCCGCGCCCGCCCTTTGACTGGGCGACCCTCGAGGGAGGGGGCGCTCTGCCCGCCGAGATCGAAGCAGGGGCTCGCCGTGCTCACCGTAACATGGGCGGATCCTTCACCTCGGCGCGGGCGATGCTGGCGGAGGCGTCGGGGTTCGAGACCGACGGGCGGGACACCCTCGTTCCGCCCTTCTACGCGTCCAGGAGCAGGAGGGCCGCCACGCTGATCAGCTCTCCCAGCCCTGGCCGCCCTGCGCTCATCCTGTGGTGCGTCTGCGGCCTCTGCATCTCTCTGGGAGCCGCGGCGCCGACCGCAGGCCAAGGGCTTAGTCGGGCTGCGCCTTCCGCGCCCGCTCGCCCTCCGCGCACTCCCTTCGTGCGCGATTCTCACCTCACCTCCGCGTATCTCGATCGTCGCTCGAGATCGATTGATGCGTTCGAACTGTGGTTAGCAGAACACACTGGCGTGCCGCCCGCCACTCTTTACCGTAGCGGGATACTTCTCGCCCGCTTCCTCGCGACCTTCGGCGTGTGGCTTCATGATGCAGGTTTCCCTCATTATATTCTGGTTCATGCCATCTTGGGAATCCAGAGCGCTCATCCGCATTGGAAGGCCTTTCTAACAGAAGCTTGGGACGTAGCGAAACAATGGAAGCTCGCGGAGCCGCCAAAGCTCCGCCCGCCCTTACCTCGCGCTCTGCTGCGCGCTATGGTCGGTCTCTGTTTCGCCTGGGACTGGCCTGTGATGGCGGCCTTGCTGCTCATGGGCTTTACGATGTTCCTCAGGCCTGGCGAGCTGCTGGCGTCACGCCGCTGTGACTTGTCGCTTCCTTGCGACCGCCTCGAAGTTGAAGGGGATGCTTTTCTTTCGATTCTTGTTCCAAAGACCAGGAGAACGTACCCGACGCAGCATGCTCGCTGCTCCGATCGGGGCACGGTGAAGATTCTGAATCAAGTGTTTGGGCGGTTGGCTTCCACCGATCCTCTCGCCCCTTTCGGTGCGAGCGGCTTCCGTACTCGGTGGAATCATTTGCTTTCGGCCCTGGGCGTCCCTCTTGCCAAAGCGGGTCAGGGGCTCAACCTGACGCCCGCATGTCTGCGGGGCTCTGGCGCAACAGACTTCTATATCGCTACGGAAGACGTCCCTCGCGTCTTCTGGCGGGGGCGTTGGCGTCAGGCTTCCAGTGCTGAGCGCTACCTGCAAGCCGCCGCCGCTTCCACAGTTCTTGCTGCGCTGCCCGTGCCCGCACGGGCGCGGATCCTGTTCTTCGCCACCGCCAGCGACCGCCTTGTCGCTTCATTTCTCCAAGTCGGCCCCGCCGCTTGGCCTGCCCTACTTGCGGCCGCCCGCCGAAACCTTGTCACTTCGCAAGGTCCTTGAGCACGGGTATGGCTGCCTCGCCGTCGTCGGCGAGCAGGCGGTCTCCCCCGCCTGACGCGCGGCGCCCCGGCACGAGCGCGCGGGACGGGCCTGCCCATTTTGGGCCGCCCCGCGCGCGCGAGCCGCGGCCGCGCTCGGAGACAGCTCGCTAGCGCGCGAGCGGGAGAATGCCTCTTCTATTCTCTGTGAGCAAGCTCCTGCTGTCTCCGCAGCTTCTCTGCCCCCCTCCCTCCTCTCCCAATCTAAGGCTGATGGGCGCTGCCTCGCCGTCGTCGGCGAGCAGGCGGTCTCCCCCGCCTGACGCGCGGCGCCCCGGCACGAGCGCGCGGGACGGGCCTGCCCATTTTGGGCCGCCCCGCGCGCGCGAGCCGCGGCCGCGCTCGGAGACAGCTCGCTAGCGCGCGAGCGGGAGAATCCTTCTCCTCATCCTCACTCTCCTTCCTCCTTCCCCCACCCCCCCTCCTCCTCCATCTTTGCCTCCTCCTCCTCCTCCTCCTCGCTTTCCTCCTCCTTCTCCTCCTCCTCATCATCATTATACACCTTTTCATGATGTTCATGGCCCTCGAAGCCGCAGCACGCGTGGTTAAGCTTATCCAGGCATGCGCGTCGTCATCGGGCAGAGCCATCGTCAATTCTGGCTCAAGCCCGCCGGGTCCCGCGCTCGCGTTCTGCAGCGCCCCCTGCGGCGGGAGCCTGTGCCACGCCATGTCGGCTGGGTCTGCCGGGCCGGACGCCAGCGAGGACCACCCCGAGGGCGAGGAGCAGCCGGGCGAGTTGCCCAACCTCGGTGAGTCCAGGCGGCATGGCCACAGGAGACACCGAGGGCTTCACTCTGACAAGCAGCGGAGGCAGCTGAAGGAGCTGCAGGAGGAGCGCTCGTTCACGTCGCAGGAGGTGCAGCGCCTCTATTCCGCGTTCCAGGATTCACGAGCGGCGAAACACAGCTGTAGCCACGCCCGCGCGGTCTGGATTCTGGGGCGCGATCCCGTGGATACGCGGTCCCATGGAAACGTCCCGCGCAGGGAATCCGCGAAGACACAGCCAGCATCCGCGCGGTTGCGGCCCAGGGGCCTGGCCCGCGAGGCCGTGTATACGGACATGTTTTCCGCACACGCGAAGGATAGTGGGCAGCAGGTGGCGGAGCTCGAGCGTCAGGTCGCGACGCTCAAGCAGAAGGATCAGGAGAAGACGATGCAGCTCCGCAAGTATGAGGCCAGCTCTGGCAGCAAGGACATGGGAGACAGCATGGCCTTCAGGAAGCAGCTGGCCGTTCTGTCGGAGCGCTGCGCGAGGGCCGAGGCGAATGCGACGCTGGCGAACGGCGAGGAGGACAAGCGAGTGGTCAGGGAGCAGCTGCAGATGCAGATTGCGGACTACGAGTCCTTCCGGGCCCAGGCGGCCGCTTCGGCGAGGGCGCCCGAGGAGCAGCTCCAGGCACGGCTGCCAGCCGCCCGCAGGCTGCCCCGAGCCGCAGACAACGGCTCCACTCCGGCCGAGCCAGAGCAACCCGCGCCGACCCTGCAGGGCGGGTCGCCCCGGGGCGAGGAGGTGGAGCGGGCGGTCCGGAGCGCGTTCCCGGGCGCCGAGGTGGTTGTGCGCCCGATGCGGGGCCCGCGGGCGTCCCCGGCGCTGGCCCCGGACGCCTCCTCCTCGCTGGCGGGGAGCGAGCAAGCCCCCGGCGGGGGCGCCAAGGCCGCGGAGGAGCTCCAGGCTGTGCGGAAGGAGCTGGTGGAGGCGAGCTCCAAGCAGCTGGATGCCCAGAAGGTCGCCGAAGTGATGCGCCTTGAATGCACGAGGGCCGAGCGACAGGGCAAGAAGTCCGCCCGACAGGTGGAGGTTGTCAGCGCCCTCTTCTCCCGCGTACACGCGGACTTGCAGCAGCAAATCGGGGAGGTCCGGTCCGCGCGGCGTGAGGCCCGCCGAGCGCAGAGCGAGGCGGTGCTGGCGCAGAGGCTGCAGGCAGCCGGCGAGGCGGCAGCCGTGGAGAGGGCTGCTGCCGTGGAAGCGCAGGCAGCCCGGGCCGCGGCCGCTGAGGCCGCGCTGGCCGAGCTGCGGGTGAAGCTTGAGGAGCAGGACCGCCTGAGGTCGGAGCTGGAGCGGGAGATCGAGGTGGCAAAGCAGGACTCAGCTTCGGTCGCAGGGGCGGCGGCCGTGGAGGGTGCCGGGGCCGCGGAGGCGCAGGCGGCCAGGGCTGCTGCGGCGGAGGCTGCTCTGGAGGAGCTGAGGGAGAAGCTGGGCGAGCAGACCCGCCTGCGCGAGGAACTGCAGCACCAGATCGACGCGGCACAGCAGGCCTCCTCCTCCTCGCAAGAGTTGCTGGCCGTGGAGGTGGCCCGGGCCGCTGCTGCGGAGAGCACCGTGAAGGAGCTGGAGGATAAGCTGGAGAAGCAGGATCGCCGGAGGTCGGAGTTGGAGCGGGAAATTGAGGTGGCAAAGAAGGCCTCCTCTTCGCTCGTAGGTGAGGCAGTGGCCGCGGCGAGCGCCGACGGCGCGGAGCCGCAGGCAGCCCAAGCTGCTGCTGCTGCTGCGGTCGCCCTGGAGGAGCTGAGGGAGAAGCTGGAGGAACAGACCCGTCTGCGCGAAGAGCTGCAGCAGCAGGTCGGGGAGGTCCGGTCCGCGCGGCGTGAGGCCCGCCGAGCGCAGAGCGAGGCGGTGCTGGCGCAGAGGCTGCTCGCAGCCGGCGAGGCAGCATCCGTGGAGAGGGCCGCTGCCGCGGAAGCGCAGGCAGCCCGGGCCGCGGCCGCTGAGGCCGCGCTGGCCGAGCTGCGGGTGAAGCTGGAGGAGCAGGACCGCCTGAGGTCGGAGCTGGAGCGGGAGATCGAGGTGGCAAAGCAGGACTCAGCTTCGGTCGCAGGGGCGGCGGCCGTGGAGGGCGCCGGGGCCGCGGAGGCGCAGGCAGCCAGGGCTGCTGCGGCGGAGGCTGCTCTGGAGGAGCTGAGGGAGAAGCTGGGCGAGCAGACCCGCCTGCGCGACGAGCTGCAGCACCAGATCGACGCGGCACAGCAGGCCTCCTCCTCGCAAGAGTTGCTGGCCGTGGAGGTGGCCCGGGCCGCTGCTGCGGAGAGCACCGTGAAGGAGCTGAAGGAACAGTTGGAGGAGCAGAACCGTCGGCAGGAACAGCTGCGGCATGAGATCCAGGCGGCTGCGCGGGCCTCCTCCAACGGCGGCCTCGTGACCGAGGAGCTGGAGCGCCTCAAGCGCGAGGTGGCCATGGCAGGCCTGCGCGAGGGCCGTCTGCAGGAGGACCTGGAGCGGGAGAAGGCGGCCTGCGCCGAGGCGCTGTCGCAGTTTCAGAAAGTCGGGGCCATCGAGGAGGAGTCTGCGTTGCTGGAGCGTTCCGAGCTGGAGGGTCGCATCCTGAGCCTGCAGGATCACCTTGAGGAGGAGACTGAGCAGGTAGAAATGCTGGTCGCGGCACACGAGGAGATCTTGGAGCTTTCGGAGAGGCTCAAGGTGGAGAAGGCCCAGCTGGCCAAGGAGCTGGAGGCTTCCAGGGCAGAGGCCATGGAGGCGCAGGATGAGGTGATCTCGGCGGCGCGGAATCGTATAGAGCGCCTCCGCGACGAGCAGCGGATCGAAGTGGAGGAGCTGACGGAGTTCTTCCAGGCGCAGCTCCGCAGTGGGAAGGCGCAGCAGGCAGCACTGGCCGAGGAGCAGCGCAAGGCCGTCGAGGCACTGCACGGGGAGCTCGACGTGGTTCGCAGGGAACTTGGCGCCTCGCGCGAGGGCAGAGAGAAGTTGGAGCGTACGATCTCCGAGCTTTCCGAGAGCCTCCGCAGGGGCGCGGCTGAGCGCGAGGCGCTGGACCAGCAGCTCGCGGAGCGCCAGGGCGTCGCCGAGCACTGCGCCTCCCTGGAGCAGCAGCTGGAGGCCTCCGCGGCGGCGTCCCGGGAGCAGCAGGTGGCCAGGGAGGCAGCCGAGGCCGAGCTGGAGCGGTCGAGGCGCGCGGAGGCCGACCTGCGGGAGGCCTCGGAGGCGGCCGGTCGCACGGCTCGGGAGGCCGCCGAGGCGCTCGCGGCCGCGGAGGCACGCCTGGAGGAGCTGGCCGGGGCCCGGGAGGCGCAGCTGCGGGAGCTCGAGGAGGCGCGAGCGGCGCTGGAGGGGGCCGAGCGGGCGAAGGCAGAGGCCGAGGCTGCAGCTGCAGCCGCGAGCGCGGCCGCGGGCGCGGAGGACGCCCAGCTGGCAGACGCGCAGGCGCAGCTGCGGCAGGCGGGGGCGGAGCAGGAGGCCCTGCGGGCCCAGGCGGTCGAGGCAGAGGGGAGCCTGGAGCAGGCGCGCGCAAGGTGCGAGGACCTCTCGAGCCGCCTGGGCGAGGCCGAAGGGCGACTGTCCGAGATGGTCGAGAAGCGCAGCGCGCTGGAGGCGGAGTGCGAGGCGCTCCGGGCGCAGGCCAGCGCGGAGCAGGGCACTCTGCACGCCGCGCTGCAGGCGGACCTGGCAGCGGCCCTGTCCAACTGCCAGGCGCTGGAGCTCCGCCTCGGGGAGGCAGAGGCTGCGAGCGCAGCTGCGCAACAGAGGCTCCATGATCAGGCCGCGAGCTCCACGATTGAGAGCGACAGGGCTGCCGCTGTTGCTCAGGAGCAGCTGCAGCAGCAGATGCAAGCGTTGGAGGCGCGCCTGGCGGAGGCAGAGGCCGCTCGCGCGTCCACGCAGCAGCAGCTTCAGGACCTGGCGGCGACCGCGGCTGCGGAGCGCGACGAAGCGGCGGCCGCAGGGCATCGGGCACAGCAGCAGGTGCAGGAGCAGGACCTATTTTTGGAGTGTCGAGATTTCCTGCCCGCACACTGCCCCAGAGCACGCGTGCTGCCCGCTCAGTGCGCAGGCTTATCGAAGACGCCCACGGCGAAACACCGCCGCCCCCTGCCTTTTAGGATACGTCTGTTGGGCCAAAGGCTCGGACAAAGTTTGACCACGCCTTTGGACCATGCGTTCCCCCAGCCGGTGTGGAAACCATTCGGGAGACATTTGGGGGAGGCATCGGAGGATGAGGAGAGGGAGGACAAAGGAGGAGGATGAGGAGGAGGAGGAGGAGGAGGAGGCAGAGGAGACCTCATGGGTCATGGGAGCCTCTTGGGTCATTATCGGGGACTCCTGAGGGCTTCCTGAGGGCCTGCTTGAGGCCTCATAAGGGGGCCTCGTTGGGCCTTCTGGGGGCCTTTGCGGGCATCGTGGGGGCCGCTTCGGACGCCGTCGGAGGCATAGCGTTTTTGGGCCGTCGTAAGACCCTCTTGGAGCGCTTCAGGGCCGTGTTGGAGGCCATCTTGGGCGTCTTGCCGGCCTCTTGGGCCGTCTTGGAGCCCACTTGGGGCCGTCTCAGGGGCCTCTTGGAGCGATCCTGGTCGCCTCTTGGGCCTTCTTGAGTTGCTGGAAGGCCAAAAAGGAGCAAACGCCAAACTCATTCAACCACTTTTCAGACACACTTCATGGTTCGGGCCTCTTCGGGCCTTCATGGAGGACCTCTGGAAGTCTTGGGCCGCCGTGGAGGCCTCTTGGACAGTCTTGGGCCGTCTTGGGTGCATCTTGGACCGTCTTGGGTGCTTCTTGGGGCCCTCTGGGGCTCCCCTGGAACCATCTCGGCCGCCTTGGGGTCCATCTTGGCGGCCTTGAAGGCCATCTTGGGGGGGGGGGGGGCGTCCTGGAGGCGATAGGCCCGCGAGCCGCCTATAGTTTCCCGGGCTTTCGGCGGCTTTTTCCGGGTGGCGGGCGGGCGGGGGCGAAGCCCCAGAAGGAGCTCTTTATGAAAGAACCCATTGGGGAAGTATAACACATATGGTGCCCTTTCGCACATCGTGCTGGTAGTTCGAATATCACAGGGCCTGCCGATTGCCACCGTTAAAATGATATTTAGGGGTTCCCCCTCCCAGATTTTTCGCACGCCGTGCGCCCCAGGGGGCGGCGGATCGAACGGCCTTCGCCCCATCCCGCCACCGTGGCTGGGTCGTGGGTCTGAGGCCTCGTTGGGATGGTCGTTCGGGTTTCGTCGAGGCCCCTCGGAGGCCTCCTGGTTGCAGTTGCGGGGCCTCTGGGGGGGCTGTGTGGGGGCCTCTGCTGGGCTTCTTGGGGGCCGCTTGGGGCCTCATGGGGCCTCTGGGGCGCCCCTTGGGGCGGAAGACTTTGATTTTCGGGTTCGTGCTCCCCCTCTTGGGGCCCTCTGGGGGGACCGTCTTGGGGCCCTCTTTGGCCGTCTTGGGGCCCGCTTGGGGCCTCTCGGGCGGACTTGGGAGCCCCGTAGGCCGTCTGAAAGCGTCGGAACCTCGAAAAATCGAGCTCCCAAATCATGGAAACACCTCAGTGCAATCAATGATTGTTGCTTCTCCGGGCCTGTTAGGAAGGCTCTTGGGGCTTTATTGCGGCATTCCGAAGGCTTTTTGGGCCATCTGTGAGCTATCTTGAGCGTCTTGCACCGATTGTTCGGCGTTTCGGGGCCCTCTTAGACCGTCTTGGGGGCCCTCTCCGAGCCGAGCGCATCGCGCGGCACGACGCCCCTGGCCCCGGGGGCCACGCAGCAAGCCCCGGAAGATGTGGCAGTCTGGGGTCCGGGCCCCTTAAGTCGGAAGCTGGAGCACATACACTACCAGTGGCGGGCTGTTTTTCAATCCCAGGACTGTTTGAGGGTCGGGGACGATGTGGGGTGGTGCACTTTTTTCCCCGATGTCCCGGGGAAGTAACGAAAGATGTATACACCAGGGTGCCGTATACACCAGGATCCGCTCTCCAGTGCAAATTCCAGTGCAGGGCCCCCAGAAGCGTCGGTGTATAGAGTTCGATTCCCTATTAAAGAATCCTCAGGATTGAAGACTGACGCTCCACTGGATCGAACAAGGAGCCTGAGAACACTCCAACTCGTGCCTCGAGGGCACGGTGGCGATTCCTGGTAGGCTTCTGGGAACGCCTGGGATGCCTTAGGAGACTCCCGAGGTCCTTTGGGAAGCCCTGAGCCTCCACCAGGGTTCTCGAGGTTTGGGCGCCCCGCATTCTCTGACCCCAGGCGTCTCCGCCCGGCTTCTGGCCCCAGCACCCGCGTGGCTCGGTCTGGCTCCAGAAGTGGTGTTCGAGACGTCGGATCTCAGAAGACGTCCGCGGGGAGTCTTGGGTCCTAACTGGGACGCGCTTGGGGAAGTTTCGGCGCGAAGCGCCGGGAACCTTCGGGAAACCCGAACAGCGTTTTCGATTGCAGTCGGCCCAGATTAGAAGGTCGACCCTGCCAAGTCAAGGGTACCCTTGTGTCCTGTGTCTCGCGACCCATCCTTCCTACCTTCCTGTGGCAATGTGGCCCTCGGAAGGGCCTCGTGTCCTCTCGCGTGTCCTGTCCAGTCGAGGCCGACTGTGTTGCTGCCGTTGCCCTTGCCCCAGGTGGCCCCAGCTTTTCCAGAGGCCCAGGCGGCCTCCCGGAGCGCCCCCCCCCCACGAGGCCAAGACGGGCCCCTGGGGGTCCCTAACTCACGCGAGAAGTTTGTGGCGCCTCGGGTCAAGAACACCTCTTGGCAACCTTCGGCATGTTGGGAAGCGTTGGACTGTGTGAGGCGCTGGGGCTCACGAAGCCTTTCTTTTCTTCACTCCTTTTTTCGACATTGGCGTCAGGAAGCTTGGCTCTGTCCGAGCCCAATCTGCCGTAACTTGAGATGTCGCGGGCATGGCGGCAAGATGTAGATCGTCTGATCGGATTTGCTTCATCGATGGGTCGTCCCCAACTCGGCCTCGTTGATCGGGGCATTCGCTTGGACGTTCCACACGCGCATTCCTTCGTCGCCTTACTCGAACATTCCCAAGTTGATTCGGTGGGGTACTGAAGTCCATGCCCGCGCTTATGATGCGCAGAACGAGATCGGGAGCCCATGGGCTTGCCTTCGTGTGTGAGTCTCAAGAGAACGCAGGACACGCAGAGGTCAAACTGTGAGCCTGGAAGCATGATCAGCCAATAGTAACCCCTATCCCCCCCGCCCCATCATAAAGAACATCGCACGCTTGAAACAATTTAGCGCGTTTCCTAGCACGCGTGCGCGGTCTTCTGCCTGGGTGGTGCCGCGGCAGGGATGCAACCTTAAGAAATGTGACAAGGCAATCGACCAACAAATATAGCTCCCAGGCCCAGGCGTACATGATGCAGGTTCAGGAGCAGGCCAAGGCGGCAATCGCCGCCAGGGACGAGTTCATCGCGACGGCGCAGCAGGACCTCCAGACCGCCCAGGCCGAACGTGCCGCCCTGCAGCAGCAGCTCAAGGAGGCCCACGACCTCGACGCTGCGCGGGCCGCGCTGGAGCAGCAGCTCCAGGAGGCCCGCAGCAGCGTCACCCAGCTCACCACCGAGCGGGACGACCTGTCGAAGAGACTGGCGGGCACGAGCGAGGAGGCGGAGAGCCAGTCCGCGAGCTGCGAGGACCTCCGGCAGCGGCTGGAGGGGCTCCAGGAGTCGGCCGCCCGCGACGAGGCGAAGCAGAAGGCAGACCGCGAAGCACTGCAGCGCCAGATCCAAGCCCTCCGCGAGGAGAAGATGGCCACGGAGGAGAAGCTTGCGCAGACCGCTGCAGACCTCGGCCAGCTCGTCGCCGCAGGAGACGTGGAGGAGGAGCAGTTCAACAAGGAGAGGGCCGGCCTGCAGGAGAAGCTCGCCGAGGCTGAGCAGGCGCTCTGCGCCTCCGCTGCCGAGAGCGAGTCGCTCGCGCAGCGGCTGGCGGCTGCGCAGCAGGAGCACGCCGCTGCGGCCGCCGCAGAGCGCGATGGGGCAGTGGCCACCGCCAAAGAGCAGATGCAGAAGCAGCTGCAGGAGCAGGCCACCGCTGCCGCCGCAGAGCGCGACGCGGCAGTGGCAGCTGCCAGGGAGCAGCTGCAGAAACAGCTGCAGGAGCAAGCTCAGGCCTACATGCTCCAGGTCCAGGAGCAGGCGAAGGCCGCCATCGCCGCCCGGGACCAGTGCATCGCTCAGGTCCAGCAGGACCTCCTGGCTGCTCAGGCCGAGCGAGCGGCCATGCTGGATCAGCTCGGGAAGACCCAGGAGACCGGCAGTGCCGCAGAGATGTTGTCGCAGCAGCTCGAGCAGGCCCACAGCAGCGTCGCCCAGCTCACCATGGAGCGGGACGAACTGTCCAAGAAGCTGGCAGGCGCGAGCGCGGAGTTGGAGAGCCAGTCCGCGAGCAGCCAGGAGCTAGCGAAGGTCACAGCCGAGTGTTCGGACCTGCGGTCGCAGCTTGCGCAGGCGCAGGGCAACGAGGACCTGCTCTCGGCAGAGCGGCACGGCCTGGAGCAGCAGCTCGCGGGAAAGAGCGAGGAGCTCCGGAGCTTGTCGGCGCAGGTCGGCGCCCTCACCGCTCAGCTGCAGCAGGGCGGCGCGACCAGCGAAGCGCTCGCAGCGGCCACCGCCGAGTCCGCCGCGCTGAAGGCGGGCCTGGCTGACGCTCAGGCCCAGGTCAGTGCGCTGACCGAGCAGCTGCAGCGAAACGGTGCTGCTACCGGGGAGAAGCTGGCCGCAGCGGCGGCGGAGACCGCGTCCCTGAAGCAGAAGCTGGCGGAGGCCGAGGCGCAGGCCTGCGCTCTGTCTTCGCAGGGCGAGGCGCTGGCAGCGCTGACCATGGAGTCGGGTTCGCTGAAGCAGCAGCTCGCAGACTCGAACGCACAAGTGGCTGAGGCGCAAGTCCAGTGTGCCTCTCTCGCTAAGCAGCTGCAGGAGAGCGCGCGGGCGAACGAGGATCTCATCAAAGGCTCGCTGGAAATGGACCCGCTCAGGCAGCGGCTTGCGGACGCCGAGGCGCTGGTCGGGGAGCTCACCCAGAAGCTTCAGCAGGGGGCCAACTCGAGCAGCGAGTTGGCCGCCCTCTCTGCGGAGTCTGGCACGCTCAGGGAGGAGCTGAGCTCCGCACAGAGCAGCCTGCTCCAGCTGACAGCTGAGCGTGAGGCGCTCAGGGCCAGCCTGGCGGAGGCTGGCGACAAGTACGAGCAGCTCCATGCCACCCACGAGCTGCTGAGTGCTGAGCTGGAGAAGCACAGCGGGCTGGCAGCAGGGAGTGGCGGCCCTGCAGGTCCCCAGACTTTCAACATCGCCGACGACAACGACATCGAAGAGGTCGAGGGGCTATCCAGGAGTCGGGCGACAAGCGGTCCCGCCAGTCCTCAGAAGGACCAGCCTTTACTGGAGAGCGAACTCGCAGAGGTCGACACGCTGCGCTCGGAGCGCGACACCCTGCGGGCGGACCTCGAGTCTCTGAGAGGCCGGCTGCAGCTGGCAGAGGACCAGCGGGCCGCCCCAGCAGGCGTGGACGAGCGCCTGGTGGAGGCGGAGCAGCAGGTCCGGGAGGCGGAGGCGGAGCGCGCGGAGCTGGAGAAGGCCTTCCTCTCGCAGATGGAGCAGGCGCAGCGCAGTCTGAACGACAAGGTCATGGAGAGCAGCAGGCTGCAGCTGGAGGCCGACGCCCTCCGGCAGGAGCTGGCCGACGCGAGGCGCGCCCAGGGAGCGGGCGCGGTCGCCTCGGCGCCCGCCGCGCCGCCGTCGGGCGGCGACGTGGCGCAGCTGCGGCAGAGGCAGGGAGGAAAATACGCCCCCCAGCCGCCACATTTCAGCATTGTTTAGCCGATCCCCATCCCCATCCGGCCATGGTATCCCGTCCCCACCATGACACCGCTCCAGTTGGGGATGTTGTCCTCGAAACCCGAAGGGATCAGCCATTTATCCCCATCTAGGGGCGTCTATCGGCCGGTGGGGCCCAGGCCACGCCAGTGGGGATCGGCTATAAGGATTTGTCAGAAGATGTTCACACTTGGCGTTGTCTGGACAGCCCTGGGCTTTGAAGGGACAGCCCTGCCCTGCTTTTGGCGTGTCGCGCCGCTGGCTCTGGACCACGACACTTCGGCGCGACACGTTAGCCAGTTCCTGGTCCTCGAGCGTCAACCTCCAAAGGCTTTCCCAGCCTCTCGTCCCGCTTAGCGAAACGACAAGCAAAAACCTCGCAAGGTATAGCGTGTAGCCGAAGCGGCCGCCGCGACGCTCTGATCAAAAGGTCCTTACCGTAAAAGGCTTCTGCTGTCGGGGTACTTCTCATGAGGATTGTTTTTTTGTCTGCCCTCCTCGGATGGGGCTAGGACCAGGATAAATCCGTTCGAGGGCGACCCGGAACGCTCTCAGAGCGTTCTGGAACGCTCTGAGAAGGCCGCGACGCTCGAGGCATCCTCCAGAACCGCTGGATCTCAAAGATCCTCGATTCATCCTCACCCGAATTTGGCCTCGCCCTGGCCTCGTCTGACCTTCAGGATCGGAGCGATTGAGGAAGAGAAGCAGATGATGCTGGAGCACATGCGGGAGCACATCTCGCGGCTCGCGCACGAGAACCTCGAGCTGAGGCGGGCACTCGGGGGCAGCGGCGCCACCGCGGAGGGTGGCGACCTTTCCGCCCAGGACGGCCCGGGCGACCTCCCGGCGCCCTCCAGGGCCGAGGCTCGGGGGCTCGTAGAGAGGGGGGGGTCCTCCGCCTCCTCCTCCTCCTCCTCCTCCTCCTCCTCCTCCTCCTCCTCTTTTTCCTCCTCAGGGAACGAACCCAGCTGGATGCTCACGTGTCCTTCTTCCCCCGGAGCCGGTTGAAGCGGCTCTGCTCCCCCTGCCCCTGCCCCACCCTGAAGCCCCCCCCCCGAGAGGCGGGGAGCAGCGGCGGCCCGCTGAAGTACGCCCTCTCGCCCTTCCTGTCGGGCAGCGACCAGCCCGAGGCGCAGGCGCAGGCCCTCACCACCGGGGCGCATCCGAAGCTGGTTTTGACGTGACGCGGCAGCGCGGATGCGGTTTTTTCCTTGGCGCCACGGCCGCCTCCGTCGGCGCTGTGTCGGGCAGCGCTGGTGGCCGCTGGCGCCGCCTGCGCCCCGGAGATGCGCGGGCACCGCCGTTTCACTCCGCGTGGCCCGCGGCCGTCAGCGTAGGATTCCCCGGGCGGCGGCCAGCTGAGACACGTTGGCAAATTTGTCATTTGGAAAACGATCATCCCGCCGGTGGAGTCCCGACACGGCCGCTCAGAGCAAGCTCGGGAGGCCAGCGTCGGGGCCTCTGACCAGCTCGAGGCCTCCCAGATGGAGTCGCACCGCATCGCTGGTTCATCGGCGATGCGGCTCGATGTGGAGCCAGAACTTCTCCACGCAGACTTCGCCGACGCATCGTCGGCATCGCCGACGCATGATGCCGATGCGTCGACGACGCGGCCAAATTCTCCGACACCATCCACTCGTACCCAATCTGGGAGGCCTTTACCCCTCCTCTACCATCAGGGCCTTGGGTCGGGACGGGTTTTCAAGACTCGCTCTCAGTGATCTTGGAGTGGGGGTGACGCGTCGGGCTTCGGTCGGCTATCGGAGTGAGAAGGCATCTGTGTGCAATCAGAGCCGTGCGGCCAGTCGTCCAGCCCTACCCCAGATGGATCAAGAAGGGTTTCGTCAGGGTTGGGAACAAAGTTGTTGGGCTGAGAGTTCATTGGGTCCGAGCCACACATTGGCAACAATATCCGTAATATCCTAATATGTAGATACAGATATATGTACACATAGCGTGAGGGGGCCGAGCGGTCATTCAATGTCCCCGGGCGCGTGGCTGAAGGTTCTGCGGTGCAGATTGTTGATGTTGATGTTGTTGTTGAATGTTCACTGCTGAAGAATAACTATTGTTGATCCCCCCTCCGGTGCACATGGTATTGTTTCAATTGAAGTGCCTTTCCCGGGGCTTGCACCTTGTTTGTTATCAGGGAAAGTCTTCCTGCTCAAATTGTGCCCCTGGCCCCCGGGCTACAACAACAACGGCTCCCGCTTGAGATTTCCTTACAATTTAGCCAGGACCCCCGCTCCCGCCCGAGACTTCCTCGCATGTTATTCAGGAATCGCGCTCTCGCTTGGGACTTCCTTACAATTTATTCAGGAATCGCTCTCCCGGCGCTCTGGAATCGCGCTCTCGCTGGAGACCTGCTTGCAACTTACTGAAGAATGACCTTGCGTTGGAATTTCTTGCAATTTGCCCAAGCGCCGCGCTCCCGACACCCAGGCACCCAGGAGTCGCGCCCGTTGTGGCCCCATGTGCATGCCCTTCGTGGCCCCGCTGTCGCCATTTGTGCCCCCCTCACTGTCCTACGTGGCCCAGTTGCTACCCTCAGTGGCCCCATAGTTGCCTTCTGTGGCCCCGCATTATCTGCACTTCGTGGCCCCCGCTCGTTCGCGCTCTTCGTGGCCCCATACGCATTCCCTTCGTGTCCCCGCTGTCGCCCTTCGTGGCCTACTTCGTGCCCTTCGTGGCCCTGCTGTCGTTCTCTCTCGCTCTCGCTTTCGCTCGTCGTCGCCGTTGTCGTCGTCGTCGCCGTCGTCTTCGACGTCGTCGTCGTCGTCGTTGTGGTCGGTCCCCTGTCCGTCCCTCTTGGGGTCGGGTCGACGGTCCGCGGCCGCCCCGCCGATCAGCGCTGCCGCTGGCCAGGCCGACGGTCCGCGGCCGCCCCGCCGCTTGCCGGGGCCCGGCCTGCAGAGAAGAAAGGTATACCCCCCAAAAGGGGTTCGGTGGAAGACGAAAAGGGCGGGTATCGAGGGTTTGGGGAATACGCGTTATTGGACGCTCGAGCATATAAGGGCGAATGGTCTTAAAATTATTGTTGTGTGTGTGTGTTTTTATGTTGTGGTTGAATTTTCACTGCCGAAGAATATTTTTTGCTGATTCCCCCCTCCGGTGCACATGGCATTTTTTCAATTGAAGGGCCTTTCCCGGGGCTTGCACTTTGTTTTTACTGAGGGGAAATCTTGAGGCTCAAACTGTGCCCCTGGCCCCCGGGCTACAACAACAACGGCTCCCTCTAAGATTTCCTTACAATTTAGCCAGGACCCCCGCTCCCGCCTCGGACTTCCTCGCATTTGATTCAGGAAAAGCTCTCTCGCTGGGGACCGCCTTACAATTTAATCAAGAATCGCTTTCTCGGCGCTCTGGAGTCGCACTCTCGCTGGAGACTCGCTCGCAATTCACTCAGGAGTAGCGCCCGTGCGCTTGAATTTCCAGGAATGTACTCAAGCGCCGCGCCCCCGACACTCAGGCACCCAGGAGTCGCGCTCACGCTTAGGGCTCCCACACAAATTATTTAGGAATCGTTCGTTTCCCGTTGCAGCCCTTCGTTTCCCGTTGCAGCCCTTCGTGGCCCCCTCGCTGCCCTTCGTGGACCCGTTGCAGCCCTTCGTGGCCCCCTCGTTGCCCTTCGCGGCTCCATTGCAACCCTTCGTGGCCCCCTCGCTGCCCTTCGTGGCCCCATATGCATGCCCTTCGTGGCCCCCTCGCTGCCTTTCGTGGCCCCGTTGCAGCCCTCCGCGGCCCCCTCGCTGCCCTTCGTGGCCCCGTTGCAGCCCTTCGTGGCCCCCTCGCTGCCCTTCGCGGCCCGTTGCAGCCCTTCGTGGCCCCCTCGCTGCCCTTCGTGGCCCCGTTGCAGACCTTCGTGGCCCCTTCGCTGCCCTTCGTGGCCCTCTCGCTGACCTTCATGGCCCCATTATGTATGCCCTGCGTGGCCCCCGCTCGTTCGCGCCCGTCGTGGCCCCAAATGCATGCCCTTCGTGGCCCCGCTGCCGACCTTCGTGGCCCCCTCGCTGACCTTCGTGGCCCCGCTCGTTCGTGCCCGTCGTGGCCCCATATGCATGCCCTTCGTGGCCCCGCTGCCGCCCTTCGTGGCCCCCTCGCTGTCCTACGTGGCCCAGTTGCTACCCTCAGTGGCCCCGTCGTTGTCTCCTGTGGCCCCGTATTATCTGCCCTTCGTGGCCCCCGCTCGTTCGTGCTCTTTGTGGCCCCATACGCCTTCCCTTCGTGTCCCCGCTGTCGCGCTTCGTGGCCTACGTCGTGCCCTTCGTGGCCCTGCTGTCGTTCTCTCTCTCGCTTTCGGTTTCGCTCGTCGTCGCCGTCGACGTCGTCGTCGTCGTCGACGTCGTCGTCGGTGACGTCGTCGTCGTCGTGGTCGGTCCCCTGTCCGTCCCTCTTGGGGTCAGGTTGCCGCAAATCAGCGCTGCCGATGGCCAGGCCGACGGTCCGCGGCCGCCCCGCCGCTTACCAGGGCCAAGCCTGCAGGGAAGAAAGGTATACCCCCAGAAGGGCGTACGATCGAAAACGAAGAGGGCGGGCATCGAGGGCTTAGGAAATACGCGTTAGAGGACAGTCGGGCAGATAAGAGCGAACATTCTTAAAGTGATTGTTGTTATTGTTGTTATTGTTACTGCTGTTCCTGTTGTTACTGTTGTTACTGTTGTCGTTGTTGTTGCTGTTGCGGTTATTGTTGATACTGTTGTTGTTGTTGTTGTTGAATTTTTACTACTGAGGAATAATCAGTGTTATTCCCACCCCCGGTGCACATTGTATGTTTTCACTTGAAGTGCCCCTCTTGGCGCTCGCACCCTCTTTTTCATCTGTGTAAGTATTCCTCCTCAAACTGTGACCCTTGCCCCCTGTTTACAACAGTAGCGGTTCCCGCTGCATACTTCCTCGCAATTTACTCCGGTCCCCCGTTCTCGCTTGAGAATTCCTCGAAAGTTACTCAAGAATCGCGCTTCCGCTTGAGCCTTGCTCGCAATTTACTCAGGCGCCGTGCCCTTGCCATTCAGGAGTCGCGCGTTCGCTGGAGATTTCGCGCCTTTACTTAGAAATTGCGCTCTCGCTGGACATTTCCTGGCCAATCGCGCGAAATTCACGATCGATCCGCCCGCCTGGCCCGCCCGTCAGGGTCATGCCCTTCGTGCCCCATGGTCGCTCGCGCCTTTTGAACTTTGTGCCTCATTGCTGCCCGTCGTGGCCCCTCCGCTTGTGGCCCAGTCGCTGCCCTTCGTGGCCCCGTTGCTGCCCTCAGTGGCCCCCTGCCCTTTGTGGCCCACATATACGCCCTTCGTGGCCCCCAGTCGCTCGTACCCTCAGTGGCCCCATTGCTTCCCTTCGTGGCCCAGTTGCTGCCCTCGGTGGCCCCCTCGCTGCCCTCGCTGAAGCTCGCCGGGTGCTTTCACCTCCTACACTCCCGACCCGCCCGTTAGGGCCCGCCCGCTGGTCTGCAGGCCCCGTCCGCCCGACCCGCCCGTTGGGGACCGTGGCCCGACCCAACCGTCCGGGTCTGCCGCTTGTTTTCCTGATCCTCTCTTAAGCCCCCCACTTAATCTCTCTCATCCGCAGTTTTGCTCCCTCCCTCTTGTCCCTTGCCTCCCTCCCTTCTCCCACTCCTTTTCTCCTCGCTGTCTCTCTCTCTCGCTCTCTGTCTCCCTCTCTCTTTCTGTCGCTCTTTTTTGTGATTTGTTGTTGCTCTCTCTCTCTCTCTCTCTCTCGCTCCTCTTGCTTCTTTAGGGGCTGCAACCAATACGCGTGGCAGATCAGGAAGATGTACCCCCCAGAGGCGGCACGATCGATGACGAAGAGGGCGGTCATCGGGGATTTGGGAAATACGTGGTGAGGTACGCGTGGGCAACTAAGAGCGAATCGTCTTTCAATGATTGTTGCTGTTTGGTGTTGGTGCCGTTTTTGTTGTGGTTGACGCGTTGTCGGTGTTGTTGCTGTTGTTGTTGTTGTTGTTGTTGTTGTGGTTGTTGTTGTTTGTGGTGGTGGTGGTGATGGTGGTGTTGTTGTTGCTGTTGTTGTTGTTGTTGTTGTTGTTGTTGTTGTTGGTTGTTGGCTGTTGTTGTTGTTGTTGTTGTTGTTGTTGTTGTGATTGTTGTTATTGTTGTCGTCGTCGTTGGTGTGGTTGTGTTGTGTTGGTTGGTGCTGCTGTTGATGATGCTAATGTTGCTGTTGTTGT